GGAACGCAGGGGAAGTCGGCAGCATGTGCCGGCGTCCAGGGCATAGGAACGCAAGGGAAGTCGACAGCATGTGCCGGCGTCAATGGCGACCGGGTGCGGTATTGTAGAGGTATCATGGGGAGGAGCGCCCATAGTCAAGCCTTGGGGATGTAGCCATATCGATGAAAATCATTAATAAATCTCGGTGACGTGCTTGTGTGATTGCTTGGTCCTCGGATGATCGACGGTATGCCTCAGATTTATTCTAACAAGTGATATCATGAGCTAGGTTATTCACGAGGCCGTGTTGTGTTGACTTAGAGGAAGGATCGATTCTGTGATGCAGCAGGTTGCGGCGTGATTCTCAGCGTGATCAAGAGAAGCAATCAGGAAACGGGTGCAAGCGGCTGCGTCGTTAGACTAGTCACAATTGGTAGTAACTTAGAATAGTAACATGCTAATGTTACTAGTGTATGTTACCACCTCTATAGTGGGGAGTAACATATGTGTGGTGTCATGCAACACTTCATTTATTAGGTTGTAGACCCATCTTGTCTTGATATGTGTGATGTTACAATAACTAGCTATGTTACCACATGCCCCTCTTTCCTTATTAAAACTTGCCACATCATATATTTTGTCTAGAGGTGTGTGATGTTATCACCTATGTTATTTTCACAGTGGGTAGTCTCACGGCAGGACAGGCGAACCTTTGGTGATTTGGGCAAGGCGTCGTGTGCCGGATCGAATTGTCTCAGCGGCAGCGACTCGTATCAACGTGGATGACTGACCGTATCCGATTGGAAGCTTGTGAGGCACCGGTGCTGGAAGCCTGGGATAGGTTCTCTCCGGCATACGCGTGAAAGTGTGGTGGCCCAAGGTCCTTGGCGCGCTGCAGGGCAGGTGGCCCATGAGGGCAGCGCGGGGCGTGGCCACGCACATCGCGGCTGGCTCAAGGAGCCGTGACGAGGCTAGATGCATGCGTGCGAGCTAGCAAGCCGGGACTGGTTTGAGGAAAAGAAATAATTTGCAACATGTGGTATTTGACGTTAGCATGGACAGCAATTGGATTGAATAAAGGAGCATTGGGAGTTGTGGCGGCACACTTGTGTAGTCACGAGAGCTTGCATGGAAGCAGTTTTTTGATGCATTGCTAATTGCGTACGGTGTTTTACCAGGAGTTTAGCAGACTGGCAATGTGCATATAAGGTTCAGAGGAGCCTGGAAGTGCGTCATGAAGATCATGTATACACAGGGCGCCAAGACATGCACGGACGTGCAAGCGGTCCTGGTGCAGGTTGGCGCATGATTGCAGTCGGATATGTTCGGCTGGGTTGGACTAGACAGTCTGACGGATCGACGTAAGTCGGTTGGTATAGAAGACGGTGGTGAGCAGTGATGGTGATCGACTTCTGGGCGTGGAAACACGTAGCGCATGTCTGAGTGCTTGTGTGGCTTCGATAAGACTATGGTGCGGGGTTGATTCAAGTTGGTGTACACACGGAGCTTGATGTCGACGAGGCGCAGGGGTAGACCGATCATCTACCATGGAGTCATGTTGAAGGTGGATCTAGATTGAGGGGCTATGGTGTAAGGATCCAGAGAATCGAAGCCTATTCAGCGGGGAAAAAGCGAGGGACACGTAATTCGGACTGAAGCCCGGTGGTCTGATGAAAACGTGAAACTCGCTATTGGTCGGCAATGACCGATGGTACTCTGCAGTGGGGGTTGAGTCGTGTGGGTTCGCGACCCTTGAGACTTGACCGTGACAGCTAAGAATCGACGCGGTAATTGCGGCGAGGCATGCGGTACGCACGGGACACAGCGACGGGCCAAGGCACTGGTGGTCAAACCTGTGGTCAGACAAAGTGTGCAGGGGTGCTGAAGCAGTGTTGATGAGTACTAGATTCAAGTTGGTGACTGGGTCTATCGTACTAGCTGATGGACAGGAGTTGACCATGGGGAATCTGAGAAAGTAGCGGAAAGTCTGAAATTGTCAATGGCTAAGTGAGTACATGGCCGTATATTCTGTGGTGTTCTGTGCACATGGCAAAGTGCGGATGACAAGAACAGAAGGAGGCAGAGTGCTATAGGTGTGGGACATGTCAGAGACTATCCGGTAAAAGGGTGGGACAACTGTGCATTTGACTCAGGGTGACATAGGGCGACGGTGAAATTTCTTCATGTTTCAGACAGACGGTCATGAAAAAGCGGTGACGTTGAGTTCAAATAACTCTTATATGTGGCTTCCAATATGTGAGTTGTTCACTTTCACGCAGACAGTGATCGGTGTGTGATGGCGTTGAATGGATACTCCGGAAGTTGGGAGCACAACGTAGAGTAACGAGGAACTTAATTTTGCTCGAGTGTTGACTGTGAAGAAGACGAGAAGGAACTACAATTGCAGGTGAAGTCACGTGGAGTCTGGGAGTAGCAGCGGTGCTCATGGCGTATCTAAAGTCCAATGTACATGGAGGTTCAACGCATTGATGAATCCAAGGTGGTGAAGAATATTCGACATGTTGGAGTTTGTTAGAGTTGTGTTGAATACTAATGTACAAAGTAGGTTACAGTTAGACTTGATTTTGAACTGTGTGTAGCTACGATAGGAGTTGTGTCCTAATAGGACATTTGTATCCTAGGCCTCTCATATATAGCAAGGGTAGACACATGATGTAACCTATGCCAACATAATAGCATAGGAAGGCAGGGGAAGCCGGCGGCATGTGCCGGCGTCCAGGGCGACTGGATACGGTATTGTAGCGGTATCATGGAGAGAGGAGTGTCCATAGTCAAACCTTGGGATGTAGCCATATCGATGAACCTCGTCAACAAATTTCAGTGTCGTGCTTGTGTGATTGCTTGATTCTCGAATGACTGATAGTATGCCTCAAATTTATTCTGACAATCATTGAGCCGGAATTTTACCTCCTGCACCAGATCCCAAGCTGTAGGGGCCGAAATTGAGCGGCCCAAATTTTACCTCACGCATGTTCCAGTAAAACAAGTAGGGGCTGTAGGGTTCTGTCATGCGTACACGGGCAATTGCCATCCACCGAGCCGCATCTTCTAGGAGATCGCTTTCATCAACCACCACATCCGCTAGGTCATCCATTTAAGACCTAATTCCTTCATCATGGCCTCCTTGTCGTTGATCGGCGGGTCCGTGCCCCTGCTGACTGAGAGGCGTCCATCACATCTCTTGCCCGTAGAAGAGATTGTTTCGCCGGCGGGAAATCCCGAGCAGCGAGTCTGAAGACGTCGGCTACCAGCGGCAGCAGGAGTGGGTAGGGGAGCGATGTTCTCCACGATCGTTGCGAAGTGCCGTCGGGGGGGAGGACAAACCTTAACGAGAGGTGAACTGGAACGTGAATCTAGCTAGGTCTTCTCCAAGGGGAGGGGACGGTGACACTGAATTCTTTCCTCAGAGACGTATCTAGTAGCCCAATTTGTGCTTCTCGTGCAAGAATAGATTAAGGGCATGTGTATGTTCATAGGGATGAGTGTACGCGCGTATATATAAATGCATGCGTCTGTGTTGTGTCTTAAAAAAAATTCAGAGTCCGGAAGTTCTAAAATAAGGGAAATAGAGTCCGGCATGGACTTGTAGTTGTGGCCGAATCGATTGCGTATAGGTTAAATAGCTACTTTTTTTTTTTGAGGGGACTATATATACTTGTACGTGGTTCCCTGTAAACCCCGATCGAAATAAACTGAGGTCACAGGTGCGACCGTCGACTTGTGTGTTCGATCGAACAAGCCGGCCGCTAGTTGCTTCGTACAAATAGCGGCGGCCGGTGGGTCGATCTTGTCCGAGATGGACTCCGGGAAAGATCAAACTGATGAGTTATCGACGCTGATAGAGGACATCATCTCGCTGGAGAGGGAGCGCAAAGACTTGCTTGGGTCCCTTACTCCCACGATTTCTCGCTGGGAGGATATCCTCTCTGGAACAACATGGAAGGGATTCATGGCCGACAACACAATGTCCGTCCCTGTACACAAGAAGAAGACGGACTCGCCGCAGGTTAGAGACGACGAGAAACAACTCGTCGATTCCATCCTCCAAGACACGGAGGACCTGGGCCACCGGCTGCTATCCATGTCACAATATCTCTGGATTTCCCATGCCCGCGTCTCCTTGTACACGACCGATGAGCTGGTTACCACAACATCCAGATTAAAGAAAGTCTCCAAGGATTTCTACAAGGCTACCGAGGAGGCGGCAGAGGAGAAGAGAAAGGAAGATAAGGAGAGGGATAGGATCAGGAAGAAGGATGGAGAGAGGGATCAGACGATGCTGACCCATGAATTCTTGCGTCTCTCCTCTAGTGTCCTGGCTAGACCCAACCTTTACAAGAATGAGTTGGCGATGATGTTTACGGTGGAGGATGAGGAGGAGTATGAGAGGGTGATGGAGGCGGAGAGGGAGATGGAGAGGCAGAGGGAGAACTGCAGGCGGCGGAGAAGAAAGAAGAGGCCCCCGAAGAAGCCTCCGATTGTGGAGGTGGAGCACGCTGCTGACGAGCAGGAAACGAAATCACAAACGGAGCAACTCAAAGAGTGGATGGATGATGAGCTGGAATTTTTCGCAGGCCACCGTAGCATCTGGGAACGCTCAAGTGGCAGCGAGTCCGGACGGTGCGGCGGCTTCGAAGATAAAAGTAAGTAAAACATGCATGCTGCAGCTTAGCTTACTCAACTTCTTTTCCTTGGTCCGTTTGCTCTATTCATGTCTCAAGAAATTTCTGCATATCACTAATTTCCTCCCTTGGAAGTGAATTGATTGTCTTTGCTTAATTTGTTTTGCAGCCACATTGAGTCCTATGCAGTTTACGCACTGCATACCCGGTATCATCCCGCCCCGTGCCGCTGTCACTGGAAGCACATTGCAGATCTACTCCTTCAAAATTGTTGAACTAAGTGATGACCTCAAATGGCCACTCAGGGTGTATGGTGTGGTCGCTGCCCGAGACACCGTGGACCGCAACCGCAACCTTCTCTTCGCTCGGTCAAGGATTATGTGCCAAGTACTCACTCAAGATGTATGTACCATTGTATATTGAGTTTATTATCTTCATTGTCAAATATTTCTTTCATGTAATATATACTTCGTTGTCCTCTGTTTCCTTTAAGTAATACGAGTATATACTTCTTTGTCCTCTGTTTCTTTCAAATACTACTTTTCTTCTTCTTTAGCTAAATATAATGATGATCTAATGATTGCAGGACTCTTATCTGCGCTTGACTGGCCCTTCTCGTGCAATTCTAGCTGTGGACTATGTTGACTTTGAAGTCGAACTAAAAGTACGTGATGGAGATGATGAGCTCAATGATACACAGTTGATGTGTGCTGTCAACCGTTATGATGGCAACCGTTATGATGAAGCAGATGACAACGGTGAGCACCGACCTTTACCGTTCGATAGTCCCTTCTGTAGGGCAGAGTTGAGGTTTGAGAGGCTTCTTACAACGGTTCAAGCCACTATTTTATCCGTTCGTTTTATTGGAGGGGAGTTTCCTTTCAAATTCGGAGGCCAGGTTGCCTGTGTTATTGATGGCACACGTGAGAAGGTTGTTTTGTTTCATTCCATTGAAAAAATTTCTAAAGAACATGAAGTAGGTCTAGGTGGTTATGTTCCTTTGTCAAGGAATGTCGTTTCGGTAGAAATTAGAGGAGGGTTGGATGTTGTGGTAGAAGCCTACGGGCGTTCTGGCTCTACATCTGGTCATTTCTACTTCCCTTCCAAGTATTGCAACACAAGTCAGGGTAGATTTTTCGTCTGCGGTTCTGAGGTGGAGATTACCGTTGCTTGGTCCCGGCTTGTGGGGGACAAGATGGCGATGTTGATTGAGGGATACACTACTCAGATGTAGTGTGCTATCTGCGATCAGGATGTGGTATTTGTATGTTGGCAAGTAGCATGTATCAGCTCCATATTATGTTATCCAACTCTATCGACTCTATATTATGTTATTTGACTCGTGTGTTAATGAGCAGAAGCAGTTGTGTTGTGTGAAATATTTGTCAAATAGTCTTGAAAGCCAAGTTTGCTTGTACTGGCATTATGTTTACTTATTGTGTGCCATCGCAAATATTCGGCTCAGCTGCTTAATAGAAGTATGTAAGATTGGGATGTCCTACATTTAATTTCCCACCTAGTAGCATTGATGCATTGTTTGTGAATAGTGTCCTTCACAAATCGTAGATCGTACGCTTTCCCAAGGAAGAAATACAAGGTAGAGGGTCCAGTGTCGAGTCCCCCACTGTTAGGATGGTCTCGAGTTTGCAAGTCACAGCCCAAACAAAAAAATTGAGAGTCAATTAACAAGTTGGGATGCAATCCAGATAGATTATGCAACTGTAGTCGTATAGTGTTTCCTTTTCTTTTCTTTTCACATGACGAGGTTGGTGACAGGACTAAACTGCCCTTGTATTAGTAACAAGAAGATATCCACTCGCCGTTTTTTTTTTGAAAAGGGGTGCAAACCCCAGCCTCTGCATCAATAAGATGCATACGGCTCATAATATTAAAATAGTGAGTGTCACAAAGTCTTCAGCAGGTTTAAAGTAAAAAAGACGACAAGCCGCTCAGGCGAGCGTAAACATAAAGCCACGACCGGCTGGCAAAAAATAGGAGCACTACATGCCTATCCTATTACATGACCGCCATCCAAACCGGTTGAAAATAACCCAAGCTACCATCTCCCATCGGGTAGACGCAGTAGCCAAATGCCCCCTGTCCTCCATCGGAGTGAGTAGCGACCACATACGGATCAACGCTGTGGCCCTGAAGATAACCTGCAAAAAATGAAAGTTCGTTGCTCTGTTAAAAACCAAATCATTTCTGCAGTTCCATACTGCCCATAACAAGGCACACGCGCCAACACGAATGAGTCTTGCTAAAACCAAGTCTACCCCATCAAGCCATGTTCCAAACAACATATTGATAGAAGTAGGTGGAATAATATTGAAAGCAATATGAATCGAACGCCAAAGAAGCTTAGCCAGTGGACAATCCAGAAAGAGGTGCCTGATAGTTTCATTACAATCGCAGAAACTACATCTAGCAGAATCCACCCAATTGCGTTTTGCCAGATTATCCTTTGTCAAAATTACTTTTTTATGCACAAACCACATAAACACTTTAATTCGCAAAGGTACCTTAACTTTCCAGACATGTCTGGAGCAAGGAATGACACTAGTATTAATGACATCCAGATACATGGATTTAACCGAGAACCTACCGTCCTTTGTCAATTTCCAAAACAACCTATCTGGATCCTGAGACAGTTGGACATCCATCAGCCGTCGTACAAGATGAAGCCATGCCTCCCATCGTTCACCCACTAGTGTCCTCCGGAAGCTAATATTGAGAGGCGTTGACTGTAAGACATTTGCAACGTATACTTCTCGACGTTGAACAATGTTATACAGTGTGGGATATTGACGTGCCAGAGGTGTTTCTCCTAGCCACGTATCCTCCCAGAACCTCGTAGTAGCTCCATCACCAACTAAGATTTTTATCCTGTTAAAGAAGAGGGGCTTGACTCTCATCAACCCTTTCCAAAACGGTGAGTCAGTTGGGCGCACCGTCACCTGAGCTAAAGTTTTTGACTGAAGATACTTATTACGCAGAATTTGTGCCCAAGTAGCCTCTATCTCGGATGAAAGTTTAAAGAGCCACTTGCTAAGGAGACATCTATTCTTGATCTCTAGATTTTCAATGCCTAGACCGCCTTGGTCCTTGGGCCTACAGATGATGTCCCATTTGGCAAGCCTATACTTACGTTTCAACTCATCGTTTTGCCAAAAAAACCGGGATCGATAAAAGTCTAATCTCTTCCTAACCCCCACCGGGATCTCAAAGAAGGATAGAAGAAACATAGGCATACTTGTGAGAACCGAATTAATCAAAATTAATCGACCTCCATATGACATGAGCTTCCCTTTCCAACAGCTTAGTTTCTTTTCAAAACGATCCTCAATACACTTCCACTCCTTGTTCGTAAGCTTACGATGATGAATGGGAATGCCCAAGTAAGTAAACGGTAGTGAACCCAACTCGCATCCGAACAATTGCTTATACGCCACCTGGTCCTCAGTAGCTCTTCCAAAGCAAAACAATTCGCTCTTGTGGAAGTTAATCTTGAGTCCAGACAATTGTTCAAATAAGCACAGCACAAGCTTCATATTCCTAGCTTTCACCAAGTCATGCTCCATAAAGATGATCGTATCATCAGCATACTGCAAAATGGATATACCCCCATCAACTAGGTGCGGAACCAAGCCCGAAACCTGCCCCGCCTCCTTGGCCCGGCCTATTAAAATAGATAGCATATCAGCTACTATGTTAAATAAGATCGGTGACATTGGATCCCCCTGTCTTAGGCCTTTATGTGTCTGGAAATAGTGACCTATATCGTCATTCACTTTAATCCCTACACTCCCTTTTTGCGTAAAGGAATCAATTTGGTCGCGCCATGCCTTGTCGAATCCTTTCATACGCAACACCTGATGAAGGAAAGGCCATTTGACTTTATCGTATGCTTTTTCGAAATCCACTTTAAAAACCACCCCATCAAGTTTTTTTGAGTGAATTTCGTGGAGCGTTTCATGCAAGACGACCACCCCTTCAAGGATATTTTTATCCGGCATGAAAGCAGTCTGGGACGGTTGCACCACCGTATGCGCTATCTGCGTGAGTCGGTTCGTCCCAACCTTAGTGAAAATTTTGAAACTTACATTAAGCAAACAAATGGGTCTGAACTGCTCAATGCGAATAGCCTCTGTCTTCTTAGGAAGAAGAGTTATTGTTCCAAAATTAAGCTTGAATAAATGAAGCTGACCATTAAACAATTCATGAAACATGAGCAACAGGTCATGTTTAATGAAATGCCAGCACTTTTTGTAGAACTCCGCCGGAAACCCATCTGGTCCTGGCGCTTTATTATTCTTCATTTGTGCAATGGCCTCATACACCTCCTTCTCCGTGAAAGGGGCAGTCAAAATCTCATTCTCTTCCGTCTGAAGTTGGGGAACATCCTCAACTCTTGACTCATCCAAAGACACAAAACTCCGTTCCGGAGGTCCAAATAACTGCTTATAGTAGTTGGTAATGTAAACTTTCAGGTTTTCCTGACCAACCATCATTCCTTCATCTTGTTCTAATTGAAAAATTCTCTTCTTACGATGCTTTCCGTTAGCAATCATATGAAAGAATTGGGTATTATCCTCACCTTGGACAACCTTGCGAACCTTAGCTCTGAGAGCCCACTTCAATTCCTCCTCACGGAGAAGCTCTTTCAGCCTTAGCTCGGCCTCCAATTTAGACTCCAACTCTCTGATATCTAAAAGAGAGGTTTCAGCTTTTAACTCTAGGGTATGAATCATCATAAGGAGCCTTTCCTTCTCTGCCTTATAAATTCCGTTCGTATGCTTAGCCCATCCACGAAGGAACCTTCGCAGATGACGAATCTTGCATTGCCACCGCTCCATGGGTGACCTTCCCCCCGAGTCTTTAGCCCACTCTCTAGCCAACAGATCGATAAATCCTTCTCTTTCAAACCAAGCCAGTTCGAAAGAGAAATTATTCTTATTACCCAAATGAGTTGGGGCCCCTGAGTCCACTAATAGCGGTGTGTGATCCGAGATACCTCGTGTCAACGCCTGCACCGTTACCAGAGGAAACTTCTGTTCCCACTCAACACTTGCCAGAACACGGTCCAACTTCTCAAACGTCGGAACCGGTAATGAGTTTGCCCAAGTGAATTTCCTACCCGAAAGCTCTATCTCTCTGAGGTCCAAGCTCTCTATGATAGTATTGAACATAAAGGACCATCTGCCGTCAAAGTTGTCATTATTCTTTTCTTCCTTTCTTCGAATAATGTTAAAGTCACCTCCCACTAAGACAGGTAGTTGCTCATTCCCGCAAACTCGGACTAAGTCCGCCAGGAAATCTGGTTTAAGTTCGGGTTGCGCAGCCCCATAGACTGCCACCAAAGCCCAATCAAAACCATCAGCTTTCGTTCTTACCCTAAACTTAACCGCAAATTCACCCATCACTACACTCCGAACCTCCAACGTATCGCACTTAACCCCGAGTAGAACCCCACCGGATCTTCCTCGAGGTGGGAGACAATGCCAATCAAAGTCTACCCCCCCTGCTAAGGTGCTAAGAAACTGTGCTGAAAAATTACCTCGCCCAGTTTCGGACAAAGCAATAAAGTCTAAGTGATGTTCAATAGAAGCTTCTGCTAGAAAACGTCTTTTAGCCAAGTCTTTAAGACCTCTGCTGTTCCAAAAAATGCCTTTCATAATTCATCATGAAATTTTTTGGAGGTACGGATCCTAGCACTTCTACGCACAGCCGACACCGGATAAACCTTACGTTTCCAGGTCCTCTTAGGCTTAACCCCACCATCAATAGATTCAACACGATCAGAAAGAGGCTCTACGGCCACAGGCACCACCTCTAGGTTTGTGGTTACCGGAGAGGTATACTCATCCTCCTCCTCCGTCACCTGGACCGCAGGATCAAGATCAGCACACAAGCTATCAAGAACCCTAACCCCTAGCTTGTCAATCTCCGACTCATTCATCGGTTTTACTGCAGCTATGTTACGAATCAATTCTAACGCACGTTCAGCTTCCAAGTCTAGCATCTCATTAACCGATTTAGAGATCTCTAGATCATCGTTACCAAGAGACACTCCTATTTGGTTTGCATTATGAACAATCTCTTCATTGGTAAAATGCATAATAGAATTAGACTTATTAACTGACATACCAGTTGTAGTCTCGACGTCCCGCAGCTTGGCCGCTCTCAACGCGCACCTCAGCTGCATGTCATCAACATCGGAGTGCTCCTGTAGTC